ATCTAACATTTTATTCAGAAAGTGCAAGGAAAGGATATGAATAGGCTCTTGGACCCTGTGTCGACTCTGAGGATGGGTTGCTGAAGGACAGCTTGAGGAAGAGTTAGACAACAACTATTGTCCCCAGGAAAGTTGCCATCTTAAGACACTAATATCAGTCGTATGTCATCTCAGTGTATATATATATATACATATATATATATATATATGCCATGTGCTTTTTCTATATTGGCCTAACGTAAATCAAGTACCACTATATGGTGTCTCTTGATAAATGTACATACTGACTAATACACACGTTCTAGATAAGGAAAATACTGAGACTATAAATGTACATAGTTAATATTTGTTTGGGCTCGACCTGGCTCCTAAGAGCTATTTCTAACTCGGTTGGATCATCCATTAACAAAATAGGAATCTGGGCACAACCCAGTCTGCAAATCGTTTTAAATATCTCTGTAGCCCTATGTGGTCAGTCAGTGGATGGACCCCACTCTCACAAGTTGAGCTTGAGCTCCCAACTCAGCGGCAGTACCACCTGAGGCTAAGGCACATCCCATGTCTGGAGAGAGGGGAGAGGAGAAGAGTGGCGGGATCTGCTGCTTCCTGGCAAGGACGTTGCTGCTAACCATGCCTCTTCCAGCTGAGATGGTGATTTTGTGCTAGTCCAGCAGAGCTGCTGTAAGCAGTCGATGTCTTTTGATGGTTCTCAGCTGTAAACCTCAAATCTAAGCAGGCATCTCCCACGAGGAATGCAGTAGATACTGCCTGTTGCTGTGCTCACAAATGGCATTGTAAGTGTCAGAACATAAGATATTAATTCAGTGTGCTTCCTGAGCCTTTAATGCGTGGGTTGACAAGGTTGGTTTATTAAAATGTGCTTCATTTCATTTTTCTCCCCGCCTTTCCCTCTTTGAGAATGAACTGTGTATAGAGTGTCTATCTACTTTTATAAAATGTGTCTTACAAGAGGAATCATAATACTAGGAAGTGTCTTCCAAACACAGCCTAATAGGATATTCTGATTTGAAGAGGGAGGGAGAAGACCAGAGTTTTGCAGGAGAAATGAGGACAAAATGGGCACAAAACCTCAGAAGACAGCTGTGTTCAGCAGCTCCATAGTGAACCACCTCCGTGACCCGGATCTGGGCCTGATTTCTGTTTATGTGTGTTGTCTCTAGACTGTAAGCCGTCTCTGGCAAGGATGCGTTTTGTCTTTTGTTTCTTTTTTTAAAGCTCTCTTCTGAATGGCTAAGGCATCATTAATGCTGAATATCTTGACCTTCATCACAAAGGCAAGCGTGTAGCTTAAGGCCACTATTGGTAAGAAAACCTGGTGCCCTCTGTGCCTTTCTTCTTTCTGGCTGTGAAGCAAGGTAACACAGCACAAAGAGAGACTTGTAAACATCGTTCTGGTGTGATGTAGTGCATAGATGCACTTGGAAGCTTCACAGGGTCTTTGATTGTCTGGGATCCCGAGGCAGCTCTAAAGGGACTCGAATGGACTTTCTGACATGCCTAGTGTTCTTATGTGCTGGCTTTGCTGCAATATAATAGGAAAATGAAGACTCTAATCAACTCTAGTATTACTCATAATTTACCAAGAGGGTAATATTAAATTTGGATCATTATTTAAGTAGGTTATATCAAGCAGTCTGTGTTTTGTTTTGTTTTGGGGA